AATCCGCAGCGGGACCCTGAGCGCACAGACTGGCTCTTCTTCCTCACCTTACTCCTCCTCACTTTAGGTCACTGTTCCCAACTCTTTCCATGCCCTAACTTTATTCTGAGTTCTTCCCAGGATACACTGCAAACTGCTTTGTTTTTCCTCAGGCTTGAATTTATCTTTCTATGCCACCTCCTCATGCCTCTCTTTCTTCTGCCACTCATGTCCACTTGCCTTTTAAACCCTTCCTCAAAACCCCACTTATTTCATTTTCCATTCCCTGGTGCCAGACTCAGCTGCTTTGCACTTTGAGAGTTGTTCTGTGTGAGGTCTTTGAGTTTAGGCTATAAAATGCAAAGACAAGAGAGGATCATAACACACTTGGTGGTCTTTCATATATTCTGCCCTAACTGTGGCCTGAAAATTTTCAGCTTTCAAGTTGAAATCACTTTTAAGCAATATTTTTGTGTTCCTTAAAAACCCCACAGGCGCCCTTGGAATTTCATCACTTACGATTAATTTTCTATGAATGTCCTGCCAGACCTAAAAACAGTGCTGCCATTTATCTGATCTGCTTCACTGCTGAGGTAAGAAATACTTGCTTCCAGAATGAAAAGAAACATCTCTGCTTCAGATTCCCGAATCTCAAGCCATTTCCTAGGCCATGTGCTGCTCAGCAAAGTGGCATCAGTCACTGCACATCAGGCAGGAACCAACCTCCATGAGCAACCGAGCAAGGTACTAGATCCCACACGGAGATTTGGCTACCTGGTGTGAAGTACCTTAAAGTCAGTTTCATACTTAGTAGTGCTCTAAACATCCCTCCTTACGATCTTCAGCAATTCTAATTGAAAATGGAGTTACACAGGTAACAGGACTGTAACTCATGGAAAATAAGAGAGAAAACAGCTGCTGCCCCAGAAGCATTTCTAGCTTGAAACACTCCAGTTGTCTCTCAGGTAGCAGGGGATGTAGTCTAAACTTTATCAGCTGTTCTACAGTGCTGTCAGGAATTACAGGATTCATAATCTAATACCGCTAGCAAGAAGAGATCCTCCAAACTGGGATGAATTCAGCATTTACAGAATTCATTTAATTGGATAAATTTACTGATTTATCAATTTACGGATTTTACTGACAGCCAAAAATTCTGGAAATACAGTGTACTTAAATGAGGGAGGAAACTGTTTTAGCATGATTCATAACA